AGGAATGATACACTTTGGAATGTTACTGGTTTCTGAGATGTGGGAGAAACAGTCTTTGCTAGGGGGAGGGCGTGGGAAGGGAAGGAAAAAGGGAACTTCCACGCGTTTAAGGTCAGTGTTGCGGAAGGGTTGAGGCATCCTGAGAGCCCTGGGTGTGGGAGGCAACACACAATCAACTTGTGCAGTAGTACCCAAGGGTAAGAAGAGCACAGCTGTGAGCATCATGCACATGGCAGCAGAGCAACAATGTGCACAGCTATTATGATGAGATCAGGTAAGGGCTGAGGAGGCTGCAAAGGAGAGGGATGAAGCTGAGCCTGGCTGGCACTATTACTTTTTGCTAGGCTAACTTGATTGAAGTGTGGAAAACAATTAAGGTCACTGGTTAGCAGAGGGTAAACCACTGTGGGTAACCACAGTTATGCCCACAGAGGAGTGCTTCTGGCAGCTCAGCATACGCTGGAAATGGGAAATGCAGGAGCAGCCCTTGCACAGTCCCTGTGTGCTGTATCTGGGGAGATGGCAGGAATTACTGTGCTCCAGGAGTTTAAAAATCTTGAGTTTAAAAAAGCCCTTGGAGCCCTTAAGGCAAATGCATCTTCTTGCACTACATTTTGTAGCTTCTGCCATTCAGTTTTGTTCACTAACCTTGAGATTCACACCATGCATCATGTCTTCTTCTATCACAGGTTTGGTTTTTGGTTTTTTTTAAGCTAGATTACTTAATTTAGCAACATTTTTTTCTGTGCTCCCTAGAAGAGAACCTTTTGATTGTTTGGTTGGTTGTTTTTTCCTTGTTTCTTCTGGCTACCCTAACCTGTTACCAGCAACCCTACCTCTGAAGAAACCACAGAGGGGAAAAAGTGATGCTCTTAACAGGGATTTTTCCCTGCTTTAAAGCTGGAGATTTTCCCATCCATTCCAGCAGTGCTGTGTGAGGCAGGAAGCTCTTTGGAGAAGACAGAGTAATAGTGATAATGCAGTAGGAAAGAGGAGGAAATAACGTGGAAGTAGGAAGATCTTGTGCTGGGGCAACAGCTTTTCACTCACTAGGGAGATGAGGTCTCTGAGAATTCCTTTGCTTGGTGTACAAACAGAGGTGGGAAGCCATTTGAAAGAACACAGGGAATGAGAGAGAACTGTGCAAGCCCTGGAGGGCTGCATGTGAGTAGTTTATCAATGTATGCTGAGAGGATGGAGTTAGAAGATACACTGAGTTGTGCCTGACTCCTTCCCCGGCCTCGCTGCTGGACAGCGACAGCGGGACAGCTCCCGGGACAGCTGCTGGGAACGCTGCTGTGTCTGTGCCACAGACACCTCCTACATTACAGGCACCCTTCCAGGAACTGAAATGCAGAAGGATGCTTTCATCCCAGATCACTTCAGAGATGCAGTGCTGCTGCATAAGAACTAGTCCTATCAGAACCTGATGGGGCAGAGGACTAGAAGGTGAAGAAAGGCTGATGGGAAACTTTTAATTCCCTTTCATTAATGACTGATGAGAAAAGCTGGATCTTTAATGCATAGACATGCAAACACATAGTCTGTTCTGGGACTGAAAGTGGTTGCTTTATCCTCCTCTGAACTGCCTGCCCCCAGCCTGCCCCCCGACTCCACAAGGCCACTCTGGCTGGAAAGGTTTAAGAAAGCACTTTATGGAGAGTTGAAGTAAAGCAAGGGAGAGATGCAAAGAAAAATGCCATCTGAAATGGTGGCTGGAAAAGCAAGCAGGCAGTGTCAGCCTATTTCACATGGTTAATGAAGTGTCACTCACCACCTTTTCAAAAGTGTGGTTTCAAACTGAAGAGGGAATGAGTTTGTCCCTGGCCAGTCTGATGTAAATACATAAAATAAACAGAATCATACCTGTATTTATATGACAGCATAAATTCTTGTTTTGATGCCATGATGTTAACAGCTTTCTTGCCAATCTTGGTTAACCTTTATTACCTTAGCTCCCATTGCTTCTAATTTTAAGGTAAATATGACAAAACAAAAAGATTCTGTGAATGCAGCAGCTACTGTGCAAAAGCTCTAATGTGGAGTTTAGTGTTTGAAAAGTTAAATCCTGCTGCACAAAAGAGAAATCACCATAAATATAACTCCATTAATAGTGATTTTATTACAACACACTTGGCTCCATATTAAACTTTAATGAAGAGAGATTTGCAAGGAAGCCTCATGCTGACACCTTCAATGGTCTCCAGCATTTTTTACATTGAGAGATTTACACTGTCTGTGAGCACCATATGTACTCTAAGCAGTTAATTACGAGTCTGACAGTTTCAGCACACGAAATACCATATGTTCTGTGTTTTTGTTCCACCACAGGCATTACTGGTGACCTCAAAACTCATTGACCAAACACCGTCACCTTATCTGC